AATATGTAATGAATTTTAAGTGGAAGAATTTATATCAAATTGTTAAATGTGATTACCAAAAAAGAGATATGATTGATGGGACTGGATTGAGGGAAGTAGTGACAAAAGAGTATTTGTTTTTTAGTTTATATACTTTTAGTATTGCTTGACATTTTTTTTACAACATTATGTATTGTGTACTGCTTTTTAAATATTTCATTATTTAAATTAAATATTTTTTTGGTCTTTTCAATAAATGGTACTCATCAATTGAATAAATATCTGTACAGGAAAGTTTCTTTTTTCTTTTTCTTTTTTAAGAAAGCGAGCAGGATGAACAAGAGTGGAGGTGGGGAGAGAGGGAAGGAGGTTGAGGGGGAAGTATTTTTTACAGGGATTTGCTATTATGACCCTCTGCTCCAGCCTTCTAGCCAGCTAGAGTCATAGGCACATGCCACAACACCTGGCCTGTACAGGCTGGTCTGGGAATTGAACTCAGGTCTCCTACATGGCCCCAGCCATGTGTAGTGGAACCCTACCATTTGCACTACAGTAGCTGGACCAGAAACTAAGGAATCTTAACCTCTACCTCACACAGTAAACAAAAACTCATTTGCGATGAATCATAAGCCAAATTGTGGAAGTTAAAACAGTAAAGCTTCTAGAGAACCACATGGACTCATATCCTCATGATACTAGGCTAGGCAAAGTTTAAATAGGACACAAAAAGCAGTAAGTATGTGGAAAAGACAGTATATTTATAGTTTTTATATGAGTGTGCAAGTGAGTGTCTCTGTGTATAGCCTATGAATGACTTTGCATTCTCAAAGTTATGAGGAAAAAACAGAGAACCCAGTTAAAAAATGGACAAAAGGTTTGAAGAGACATTTCATAAAGAATATATGCCAATGGCTAATTTGAATATGAAAAGATGGACAGGATCATTAACCATAAGGGATATGCAAATCAAAACTAATACACATGAGTTATATAAGCTAAAATTAAAAGGACTCCTAAGATTGAGTCTTGGTGAGGATATACATAGAGCAGTTGGAACCATCATGCATTGCTGGTGGGAATGTCAATTAGAATGATCACTTTGAAAAACTGATGCTATCTACTGATGTAGCAGTTCTACTCCTGCATATTTACTCAACAGAACTGAGTGCTTATGTTCACCAAAAGACAGGTACGAAAATATTTATATTAAATCTATTCCTGATAGCCAAGAAATATCCATCAAGAGTATAAATAAACTGTGGCATATTTCTATAATTGACCAGTATGCAACAGTACATACAAGGAAATACTGCAACATACAACAACATGAACAAATTCGTAGATAAAATATTAAGCAAAAGGAGTCAAAGAGAGAATACCTACTGGATGGTTCATTCTGTATGATTTATGGTGACAGAAATCAGGATAGTGAATTTCTTTTTGAGTGGGTGGGTTTTGCCTGGGAAATTGAGGAGGTATTGATGTAGGAGCATGCTGGGATATTGGAAATGTCCCATATCTTAATCTGGGTGATGGCTAAATGTAAATATAGGTAATAAGTTCCACATACGCCAATGTAACATACTTTTTTTTTTTCTTTTTTTGGAGAGGTTTTTCTTTTGCTATAGGGCGCGTGCGCTTGCCAGACAGACAGAGAGAAGACAGAAAGATAGAAAGCAAGAAATCACCCCCCAGAGGGGATGATCATGCCGCAATCCCTTCTCCTCTCGGGATCTTGGGCACGCACACACACACACCAGGCATGAGTTTAAGCCACTGTGTCCGGGACTCAAACCGCGGTCGACTACGTGGGAGTCCAGCGACATAGCCATTACGCTAACTGCTGGTCCCCAATGTAACATACCTTATTATTATTATTATTATTATTATTACTTTTTTTTGGAGAGGTTTTTTCTATAGGGTGCATACACTCAGCAGAAAGACAGAGAGAGACAGAGAGACACAAAGTGAGAAATCACCCCCTAAAGGGGATGGCCACGCCACAACCCCTTCTCCTCCATTCTCCTCTCAGGATCCTGGGCATGCACGCACATGCACCCGGCATGAATTTAAGCAATTGGCTTTGGGACTAGAACTGTGGTCGACCACATGGGAGTCCAGCAACATGGCCATTATGCCATCTGCTCATCCCGTAACCTACACTTCTATAAAAATGTTCAAAACAATACCAATTTGGGATCTGGAGGTGACATGATAGTTAAGGCTCTGGATTCTAACATGGTCAACCGCAATTCAAGTCCTGAACCTGGTGGCTTGCTTTCTCACTTTCCCTCTCTTTCTCTGGTCAAATTAAAATGGATAAACAAATAAACAAAATTAAATAATTCTTTAAAAAAACTCATAATTTATCCACTGATATTTAATTCTGTTACTATGATATAATAAATACTTAACACATTTGAAGCACCTTTTCTAGGCCTTGCATTTTTTAACCATCATTTGTTTTGCAGATAGACCATTCTTTTCTATTTGTTTATTTTGTGAGAGATTTTTGCTATAGGGTGTGTGCGTTCACTAGAGAAACAGTGAAACAGAAAGTGAGAAATCACCATCCCCCACCCCACCCCCCACACCTTCCAGGGAGGATGGCCACACTACAATCCTTTCTCCTCCATTCTTCTCTTGGGATTTTGGACACCCCCCCCCCCACACACACACACACATACACACCCAGCATGAATTTTAAGCTGCCTGTTTGAACTGTGGTCGACTACGTGGGAGTCCAGCAACATAAACATTATGCTGTCTACTGATACCACAAATATACCATTCGGATTAATTATTGTTGCTTCACAATACATTTTTAATGTTTAAGTCTTTTCTGCTTGTTATTCTAATTCCAAAATTATTTTGAATATCCTCATCTCTTTATTATCATAGATAAAATCTTTTTTTTTTTTTTTTTTGGAGAGAAATTTTTGCATGTGTTTGCTGGAGAGACAGAGAGACAGAAAGTAAGAAATCACTCCCCAAGGTGGATGGCCACACTGCAATCCCTTTTCCTCCATTCTCCTCTCTGGATTTGGGCACACATGCATACATGCTGGTGTGAGTTTTAAGCCACTGGGTCTGGGACTTGAATTGCGATTCAGGCGATGTAACCATTATGCCATCTGCTGGTCTCTAGATAAAATCTTTAGCTTCATTTATTTAGATAATTTTTTGCTTTATCAAGTTGCCACATTTTCACATACCTTCACGTCATTGACATTTTGATTGGACCTCATTAGATCCTTGGTTGAGTTTGGAAACATGTCTCTCCATTTCTTTCCAGTTATGTAGTTGTCTTGATGTGGTTCCTGAAAGCTAATTATATTTATCTTTGCACATTTTTTGTTTTGGCATTGTCAATGTGAACTTTTTTATTATATTTTTATATGCTTGGTATTATTGACTTGTTAATCATATAATGATAATACCTCTTTTTTGGTACCAGCAGTTAGCGTAATGGCTATATTACTGGACTCCCACGTAGTCAACCACAGTTCGAGTCCTGGACCCAGTGGCTTAAAATCATGCCGGGCATGTATGCATGTGTGCCCAAGAAAGATCCTGAGAGGAGAATGGAGGAGAATGGAGGAGAAGGGATTGGTGGCCATCCCCCCTGGGGGGTGATTTCTCGCTTTCTGTCTCTCTGTCTCTCTCTGTCTGGTGAGCACACGCACCCTATAGCAAAAACCTCTCCAAAAAAAATTACTCTTTTTAAAAATTTTATTTATTCATTTATTTAATTTGACCAGAGAGAGAGCGAGAGAAAGAGAAAGTAAGAAAGCAAGCCACCAGGTTCTGGACTCGAACTGTGGTCAGCCATGTTGGAGTATCCAGTGCCTTAACCACGACGCCACCTGCTGGTCCTGATAATACCTCTTATTTACCACGTAATCTGTGCTATATAATCTTATTTCAGACAGTAACCCCAGTCAGGTAGGTATAGTGCAATCATGCTCATTTTACTTTTGGGAGCTTGAGGGTAAACAACTGGTCTGTGGTGGTGTCATTCCAGAGCTGTACTGCCTAGGCACTGTGGTCCTGGTGTCCTTAAATGAGCAGTCATCTAAAACACGGCTCATCTAGGGCTGCCTCTCAATGGCAAGGTTGATTTGCCTTAGAGAAAGGGAACATAATCACATTGTGTACTCTCATGAATAGGTTTAGTGGCCATTGCACATTTTCCTTTTTCTTCTGAATAAAATTGAAAGTGACTAGCTTTGGGACTAGCAGATGGCATAATGGTTATGTTGCTAGACTGTCATGTAGTTTTCCTTGGGTCGGGCCCCAGACCCAGTGACTTAAAACTCATGCCAGGCATATGTGTGTATGCATGTGCCCAAAATCCCCAGAGGAGAATGGAGGAGAAGGGTTTGCCATGTAACCATCCCCCCTGTAGGGTGATTTATCACTTTCGGCCTGTCTGTCTCTCTGGTGAGGCCATGCTCCCTAGAACAAAAATTTCTCTCTAAAAGAAAAAAAATAAGAAAAAAGAAAGAGAGAAGTGACTGGCTTTGAAAATAGCAGTTATATTTTGAAAATAGCCGTTATACTTAGAGATTAAGTAGTACAGAAAGGGAAATATTAAAAAGAAAAAGCTTATGTTCATGACCTGAGGACAGTCCATTGCTTATTGCTTTGTAAGCCTGACTACACATATTCTTTTATGTCTTGTAGGTAGCTTGGTTTAAAAGTGTTTAGTTAGTATTGTTAAAATTGAATGTTTGGGAGGTACTTTTTTTTTTCTTGATATTTTAATAGCTAGTTTAGGCTTAAAAAGAGGTTTTGAGAATTTTGCAATCACTAAGATTACCAAATTCCTTTAAGAATATTCTCTGGTATGTATCTTATTTACTTAACTGAGATTACTGCTGAATTTATGATTTATCATGAAATCTTTATTGTGATGGTAAAAAATTTATAGAAAAACCAAAAAACTGAAATATTCTATTCTGTAATAGGTGGGTATTGGCAATAAACTTATATGTAAATACTTATCAAATTGATTCCAGGTTGGGCAATGCAAGCTGCTGCCTATATCTTCATTCAAAGGAAATGGAAGGATGACAAGAACCATTTTGAAAGCATGATTGATTATTTTTGTGATATCCGTGAACCACTTCAACTTCTCATATTCCCAGAAGGGACTGATCTTACAGGTAAAGTAGTCTGGTTTCAATCACAGACTTTTTTTAAAAATGAGAGTATTAAGAATCATCTAGTCTAAACTTCCTATTTCTCAGATGAAGTAACTGAACACCAACAAGATTAATGGTCCTTCCTAGGCCAGCAGGTGGCGTGGTGGTTAAAACACTGGATTCCCACAGAGCTGACTGTGGTTTGAGTCTTTAACTTAGCAGCTTGAAAAGCTCCCTGGGTGCATGTGTGCATGTGCCCAAAATCCCAAGATGAGAATAGAGGAGAAAGGATCGCAACTGGAGGGTGATTTCCAACTTTCCCTCTTTCTGTCTCTCTCTCTTTCTTTCTCTGGCAAGTGTGTGCACCTTATGGCAAAAACCTTAAAAGAAAAACAAAAAAGATTAATGGCCCATCCTAAGGTCACTCACTTAATCAATAGCAGTAAATCAGGACTGAGATCTCCTGGGTTTAGTCCACTGAATTTATAACTGGCAACCCTAAGAGTTTGTTATTATTCGCACTTGACATATTAGAGCTATATATTCCTAAATCTCAGAATATATTTTAAAATATTAACCTTATGTCTTTACATAAAATTGGTTTTAAAATCATATTTTTAAGTAAAATTTATCTTGCCCTACCTGTTCTATAAGTTTTCTTGTGGTCTTCCAAGGTATATATTTGTCCATTAGGCCATTTTTTCTTGTCTTTTTTTAATACAAAGAGGATTTAAAAGTAACTAATTTTCATTATTGTTAAGTTTAATCTTTTACACTCCTCCTGATATTTCACTCTTATCCCTAGTGTAGACAGGAAAGGTTTTGTTAATTCCTCAAGAAAATCCAGTCATCGTGGTGGAAGATACGTTTACAACTTTCTACCTTCCCAAATGGCAAACTGTATAGGCCAAGAATACCAATTGACTTCAAGGAATTCTTTATAATATTAAAAACAGAATACCATACAGCCTGTCATCCTTACTAAGTCAGTGGCTTATATACTTTTTTAAACCATAGGTCATTTTTGCAGATAAAGCCTATCTAGAACGTAAGATGGATATAAAAGTAGAACTGCTCTGGGACCAGCAGTTGGTGTAATGGCTATGTAGCTGGACTCCCATGTAGTTGATCGTGGTTCGAGTCCTGGACCCTGTGGTTTGAACTCACACTGGGCACGATTGTGGCGTGGCCATCCCCCCTGGGGGGTGATTTCTTTCTTTCCCTCTCTCTGTCTCTGTCTTTCTGGCAAGTGCACATGCCCTATAGCAAAAACCTGTCCAAAAAAAAAAAATGTAGATCTGCTCTGGTTGAATTCTGGTAGGGACAGGAGGCAAAGTGGGAACATAAGTTGGTCAGGGAGCAGTTGTGTAGAATCTTTGGATTCAAAAGAGCAGTATTTATCTTTAATACCCTGATAACTTCAAGAAAGAATCTGAGATCCAGTGGATGAAGATCTGCTGTACAAGGGAAGACAGACTGAAGCAGGATAAAACTGAAATTCAGAAATTACAAATAATACGACAAAATAGAACAGATTTGTCTTCCAAATCTCTCATACTAGACCGAGAAGAGCATAAGAAACTTAAGAGAGGAGAACAGACAAATAAACATATAGTTCACCTGTTAACATAGTAATTTATGGATCCCATTACCCAAAAAGACAGTTCAAGATGAAAAATACAAATTATACAAATGTAAGTAAGAGAGTGATTTACTGAGAATTATAGGTTGATGAGGGAAATTATTTTGGGAAACATTTACCATAGATCTTAATGAAGAGATCTTTGACTCTTCAAAGATCTATCCAGATAGATCTGAGCTAAACAAAGCATGGCGGTTTTTATATATTAAGCAAGTCTCTAAAATATATGCTTACTGTATATGTTGAGTTCTTATGGTTAAAATTCTAAAGTACTTGGATCATAGAAGGTAATACTGAGGGTAATATTGGCTACCTATTAACCTTGAAAATATATCACTGTAAGTTGATTGATTTACAGAGCTGAACTATTATTGAAAAATTATAATGGATATAAGCCATAGTTAAATTTTATAATACTTAGAGTATATAATACTTACATTTAGATATTAAATGTCAGCTTCATTTAATAAATAGGAGTATAGAAATTACTTTCTGAAATGATAGATTAATTTATATTTGTGAAAGCCAAAATATATTCTAAAGAATGGCAACTTTCACTTAGTAAATAAAAACTATTGGAAAAAAGCGTCCTATGTTGTTGCTATTCTAGTATGTTGGTGTTAATATGTTCATATATTAGACTTTGAAAGTCTACAAAATACATATTTAGAACTTTTTCACTATTTTTCCCCTTAGGTTTCTTTTATAGGTGATAAACCTTATATCTAGGCACATATTTTTGGAGTCCAGAGTGCTCAACATTACAGTGTAGTTGCATTTTTTTTAATGTTAAAGGGGTATTTACATTTTAAGGCCAACTTTCAAAAGCCAGTCTATTTGCCTAATAGAGAAAAAACTGATTCTGAAGCTCTGTTTTTTTTTCCCCTATAATATTACACAGTAATTTTATTGAGTTAGAAAAAAAAATTTCAAACAATAGGATAACAAAACATTTCCAATTTGTAAAAAAATATCTATTAATTAAAAGGTATTTTTGTAAGCTGACAAGTGGCATAGTGGCTAAAGTGCTGGACTCCCATGTGTCTGACTGTTCGAATCCTGGACCTGGCAGCCTACTTTATCACTTTCCTTTTCTCTTTCTCTGTCTTTCTTTGGTCAAATTAAAAACTTATAATAAAAAATAAAGTTAAATGAGTTTTAAGTGTTTTTGATGATCCTAGTTAACTTTATTTATTTATTTGCCAGCCATAGGGCATATGTGCTTGCCTGAGACACAGAGAGAGAGAGAAAGTGAGAAATCATCCCCCTAGGAGTATGAGCACATACACACACACTTGCCCACCATGATTTTCAAGCTGTTGGGTATGGGGCTCGAACTGCCATTGGCCACATGGGACTCCAACACCATAACCACAACACTACCTGATGTCCCCAACCACAGTTAACTACTTTAAAGTTGGGTTTTTAAACCTAAACTGAATGTTTTATAATCAGCTTTAAGTTCTGAATCCATCTTGCTTATACATTTTTAAATCAGTACATTTAAATGTAACTTTACATCCATTCTATCTTCACATGTTATGGTTGGTTATAACTATTATTTTGTTTATGGAAATTATGTATATATATACACACACACACACACACACACACACACACATATATATATATATATAATTTTTTTTGAGAGGTTTTTGCTATAGGGCACTGCGCTCAACCAGAAAGACAGAGAGAGAGAGAGATAAAGGGAGAAATCACCCCCTAGGTGCGATGGCTACACTGTAATCTCTTCTCCATTCTCCTCTGGGGATTATGGACACACACATACATGCACTGGCATTAGTTCAAGCCACTGGGTCCAGGACTAAAATTGTGGTCGACTTACATAGGAGTCCAGTAACATAGCCATTACACCAAACGCTGGTCCTGGAAGTGATGTATTTTAATTTTGGTAATTTAAAAACAAGGAAATATGTGCAAAAATTGCTATAATACCACTGCCCATAAGTAAATATTATTTAATTTTGGCCTAATTTTGGTAGTTATTTGGTCATATGACCGAATGCATGTATACACACATGCATATGTACATACACACATACACAGGCATACATATTGTGTGTAAATACACTGGTCTATGACCTCAGCAAAAGTGGAAAATTGACATCAGACTTTTCTTTAACCATTTTTTACTTAATGTTATCTTGTACTCTTTTGAATCATAAATTATTATTTATCCTTTGAAAACGTATTTAATTTCAACTTAAAAAAAATACCTTCACAGAAATATCTAGATCAATGTACCCTGGCATGGTAAGGTTAACACAGAATTAACCATTACAGTTGGTATACCATAATTTTGTGTTTCATTTTCCTAATTTAGAAGGGAAAACTATTTCCATGTCTTAACAATTATAATATTGCATACAATTTAACATTCTTATACATAAATCATCTTTGTTTTATAAATATATTAATGCCTGTAGCTTTATATGCTAAAAATGTCTTTATTTTCATTAAGCTTAACATTCTATGAGAAATGACAGAAGATAAATAATAAGTTGATAAAAAAATATTGCAGGTAGTCATAAGAGCTATAGAGAAAAATAAGGCAAGATAAAGAGTTAGAGAGTAATTGAAAAAGGTGGTAAATGCTATTTTACATAAATAGTGGTTAAGGAGAGCCTTTCAGTGTTTCTGTTTAAGTAGGAACCAAATGAGCAAAGCAGAACACCATGCAACTCTATGGGTGAAAGACGGTCTAGGTAAAAGGAGGAGCAGCTGCACAAATCCTGAGGTGGGAACATGAGTGGCTGGTTTGTGAACAGCAGGATGGCTATTAGTCCCATGGTGGGAAAGAAATTCTGGGGGAGGGGAAGTTAGAGGGAGTGAGCTGTCAAGACTGGAAGGGGAGGTCAGGGAGTAGGATGCTAAGACGGGAAGATGGACTCCAGGGGAAAATCTGCATCTCTTTATGTCTGATTATTTCTGTCTCCCCTCATTGTGATGTATCTTGTAGAGCTATTTGAACTTGCATTCACATTCTACAACAGATTCTACTTTTCGCTCCAAATCCTGTCTCTGACAAACCACAAGAGCAAACTAGAGAGTACTCACTGCAGCCTTTGTGGGGGACCCTGGAGTTCCCAATTCCCTTTAAGGTCCAGTTTCAGATGTCCATAATGTAAATATTGTTTTGTGGTCCCATACCCTTCTGATTCTCTAATGCATATGAGAGAAACTTCTTTACATGTTTAGGACCTTTACTTTTAAAGACTTGCTGGGGATCTGTGGGGTTTTGACTCTCTCTATTATGAAATGGAGGAATTAACTCTATTATTTGACTTAGTTCCACATATAGGAGTGTTAGACTATTCTAATGTCGTAGCATGCATCTGTGGGTTTGAGAAGTTTTAGGGACTCTGATTTTAAATTTACTCCTAGGAAAGTTGTATTTATATAAATATTTTTCTTATGACTTGGAATAATAGTCTATAAATTTAAGGATATAGCTCGGAGTTGCAGGTTGTAACATCTGCTGTCATCAGAGGTTATTTCGTAATCTCTCCTAGCATTTGAGGCCAAATTTTTGAAACTTTACTTTTTCCAAATATATTTGCTGAATAATGGGTTTAGTTCTTCTTGGAACTTGTAAAGTTACTTCATGGAATGGAAAAAGAAATTTTTGCCAATAATTGGAACATATATTTGACTCTGTAACTATATTCAGCCAAACCATGTTCAGATGTTTGTACATCATGTGCTAATCATGTGCCCATTCTGTTGTGGAGTGGTTTTGGTTAGTAATATTAGCATGCTCTGGGCCTGAGCAAAGGAAGATATTTCACTTTGCATTGAAAGCTTAAATTATCAGTGTAAAAATATGTTGATTCGATATATTTGACTGTTATTTCTTCTGGTTGTCTAGATCCTTATATTTTATTAGTGTTTTTTTTTAAGTTTTATTAGCAACTTTATTTTAGTATTTCAATTTTATTATACAAAGAATATTTTATAAGAATTATGGTTCATTAGTATTTATATTTTAATTTTCATTGTGCATTTTCTCTTAGGAAATATTTTAAAAGATTTCAAAGATTTTGGGTCCATCAGTTGGTATAATGGCTATGTCGCTGGACTCCCACATGGTAGACCGTGGTTCAAGTCCTTGACCCAGTGGTTTAAACTCACACTGGGTGCATGTGCGTGCGGGCCCAAGATCCTGAGAGGAGAATGGAGGAGAAGGGATTGCAGTGTGACCATTCCCCCCAAGGGGTGATTCTTGCTTTTTGCTTCTCTGTCTCTCTCGCGAGCACATGTGCCCTATAGCAAAAGCCTCTCAAAAAAAGAAAAAAAAAAGATTTCAAAAATTTGAATGGACATTTTGGGAAACTTATTAAAAATTTTATTACTACTTTGTTATAAATATTTTAAAATTTCCATAAGTAAATATGGGCTCTTTGTAAAGCACTACCTAAAATGTTTGTGTCTTCTCATTTATCTCAGTATACTGTGTTCAGTAATTACAGAACAATTAACTGCTACTTATTTTCTACCTCATTTATCTCCCTTTATGGTTTCTAATGGCTTATTGTTTTTTTTTTTAGAAAATAGCAAGGCTCGAAGTAATGATTTTGCTGAAAAGAATGGACTACAGAAATATGAATATGTCTTACATCCAAGAACTACAGGCTTTACTTTTGTGGTAGACCGTCTAAGAGAAGGTAAGCTCCTCTTTCAAAGTGTTATTTTATAAAAGTGACTAAATATGCCAAACTTTATATGTAGTCCTTTAGAATGTATAAAGAACTTTTTTCTACTTTAGCTTAAGAAATAAGATAGTATATTTTTATTCTAAGTTGACACCATGTATGTACTAAAGTGTTTTATTATATATTCTTCAGAAACATAAAAGATAACTTTGTAAAAAAAATTTATTTCTCTTGTTTGGGAACAGAGAAAATGATACTTATAATTAGACTCTAATTTCATTTAAAAATGTTTCTCAAAATGGGAAAACTGCCTTTAAAAAATATCTTATTACTTACACTAATCATATATTTGGCTCTTAGGATTCGAGGATATATTATTCTCTCACTTTCTTAGATCTTTATAGTTCTTTATAGCTTAAAAAATATTTCACATTCAATATTCTACTCCACCAAGTAACTTTGGTTGGTAGGAATTCAAGTATAGCTACCTCCATTTATAGTTAAACAGGAACGGCACTCCAGGTAGTACGTGCATTTCCAGGACCACACAAATCAGAGATAGAATGTCCTTCTGCTTTGGGACCAGTAGATGGTGTAATGGTTACATTGCTGGACTCCCATGTAGTCAACCATGGTTCGAGTCCTGGACCCAGCAGCTTAAAACTCATGCCGGGCACGTGTACATGTGTCCCCAAGATCCTGAGAGGAGAATAGAGAAGAAAAGATTGTGGTATGGCCTTCCCCCACCCCGGAGCGGGGGGTGATTTCTCACTTTCTGTCTTTGTGCCTCTTTTCTCTGTCTCTGGTGAGCTCATGCACCCTATAGCAAAAATATCTCTCTAACAACAAAAAAAAGAATCTCATGCTTTCTCTCAGCTGTGTCTGCTCAAGGGTACATGAGAGCAAGGTGATCCACTGATGACATCACACTCATTATACCATTTACAACATGTGTTAACATATTTGGTATGGGAATAAACAGTTGTACCTTTTATTACATATGTCTTATTAAAGTTTATTATAACATATACATTTACATGTATATAAATTCCTGCCCATGATTGAAGAAAAGGGAACTGTCTGAAAACATGCTGAAGTGTTAATTTTACAAGAACAATTCAAAGCCCAGCGCCAACTGGAAGAGTCTTGTTTACACATTTCTGCACTCCACTCAGATTTCTAGCAAGCCATATTGTATGAAGGTGACATCTGTGACAAATTATCACCATCATCTGGTAATTGCTATGTTGTCATAAAACCATTTGTGCCTAACATGAAAGGTCTTGAACTATTATGTAAGAAAAGGTATTAAGTTCTTTCTTCCCTCTAAGTAGCATCACTCTATTCCTTTAGAGTTTAATGTACTTTAATATATAAAATGTATCCTGTCAAATAAAGCTTCTTAATAATAAAATACCCATAAGTTTAAAGAAATATACACAGTCCATCCAAAATCACGTTAGTATGTTAAACCAAAAAGCACATTATAATGGTACTTAATTATAGAGAAGCTCCTTATTAGTTTGGTTTGCTTTTGAAATTCTGTGGTTCACCTAACAGAACCTGGACTTGTGGGCTTGACAGTTCGCTGGGTAGTAAGCACATTTGGCCTTGGAAGCTCATGGAGGACACCATTCTTTGTGTTTGTGGAGTGGGGCTGGGAAGCACCAAGACTTTAAAGGATGGTCCTTATTTTTTTAAAATTGTTTAAAATGTGGAACCATTTTCTGTGGTATCAAACTTAGACTCATCCTTCTCACTCAACCATATGTTTTCTTTAATAGTATTTACTGATGTCTTTAAAGGTATTTCTGATGTCATGGAACACATTCCAAAATCTTTCAGATTTGTCTGTCAATGAAAGCCTGCTATTTGAATACATCTTTTCCTAGTAAAGATCTTCCTACATGTAGGCAAGATATTTTATAGTGGACAAAGATATATCCATAGAACTCTCTGTTCTGAGGTCTGGAAAATATTTTAGTAGAAAACTTATTTATAACTGAGGAATATGAATTAGTCATCACTTAAAGCACTCATTGATAGTCACAGTATGCAATTCTCCCTGCCAACCTGGCATCTGATTTGCAGTGAAAAAGCGAGAAACACAGAGGATTTCATTTGCTTAAATTAGATAGGTGTAATGGGACTTGTACACTACAATCAATAATAATAATAATAACAAAAATAAGAAATATGGTGACAATTCTAATATTCATAGCAGCTAACATTAACAGAACATTTATGAGGTACCAATCATTAGGCTAAGTGTTTTATATGCCTAAAGTCAGTTAATCCTCACAACTCTAGGTAGTAGTCATCATTGCTAACATTTAACTTAAAATGCAAAGCCAGTGGGGAAATTGAAGCAAAGGACCGCCTCAAAGTTGTTGGAATAGTTTGTGTAACTGAATGGTCCACACTCTTT